TTTTCAACAGAATGCATTTTCTTTCGCGTAATCAGTTAAAAGTGACTACAGTTAGTAGATTGGTAACCTAAATGAGGTGCTGAGTACGAGTCGGCCTTTAAGAGTCTATACGTGTGGATATTCTCTTCGTATATTGAACGACACGTACACTCACACTCTTGAGATATTCAACGTAAAAAGAAATCTTGAAATAGACTTCTTATTTTGATGAGAGATTGATTTAATCAATGCAACACCATGATGATCTGGTAACACGATGAAGCGGGAAGTGCTAATTGCTCGAAAGAGATAACATCGAAGAGGAGAATCTGAAACGAAAAAAAAATGGCAAGAAAAGGACTGAAAAAAAGTAATATCGAATGAGCATAATCTCAAAAATGCAAAATGTCCAACTACAAAATCTCGAAAGTTCTAAAAACAACAAATACTGCTGGATGTAGGCGTGGGTATGTGTATGAATGTTGGATAAGATAAGATGAATCTAAACGCACACCCACATACTAGATTAAATATAAGAGACCAATGAAATTTTGATCTAAGTTTCTTATATGTATAGTTGCCAAGTGCCGATTGAACATAGTTGATTTTTAGTTGAAACATTACAGATATCTGCATTATAATAAGGATGAACACTGTCTTATTATTATTGATCATTAAAAGAGCAAAAAGCAAACATTTTATCCGGTTTTTCACAGTTGCTTTCTGATATAAAAGTAAAGAAAGAATAAAAAGAACAGAAGGAAATCTCAAGTACTATATCAATTTAAAGTAAAAGAACAAAAACAGACAAAATGCCTATTTCACAGCAACAACGGACATTTTATCTAAACATTCTTTTTCTCCATACACACAAACATATATGCTTTTCTATTAAATCAATAAAATGAAAGACAATTTTTCTATATATTTTCAGAGTCTTCAACGTAAAGACCTGATTCTGATAGACCATGTAAATTCAATTTCATCTCCGCTTTCGGAGAATGTGTGAAGAGCCGTACTTTTTCGGGCAGCCACATCACCAGGTTGTTATTTCCTTTCTTTATTTGCACAAATGAAATGAAACGAAATACAGCGTTTTTTCCCTTTCAATCACGTATGGCAAAAAAATGCAGCGCATTTGTCAATAACATCGTTCATTCTCTGTTTACTTTTACTTTCATGTTGATTTTTCGATCCTTGCGGTCGTTTCTTTTTCTCTAACTGATTGTTGTTGTTTGTCTGTAGCGAAAAAGAGTATTTCATTTTTTGAAACAATTCATTTTTCTTTTTCACTTTCGACATACATTAAAGGACGAACATCTTCAAGCTTTTTTTCAAATTAATCATTCGCTTCAACATACTATTAATATAGTAAGGTGTGTATTCGATCTCTTATCAATGTAACTGTAATATTTTGCTGAGCAGCAGTTCGACATATGCTGACAGTCAACTCTAGCAAGAAAACGACTTTCCAATGGATTATTTCCTTAAAGTGAAAGGATAGGGCGCAGAAATGGAAATTCACTTGTGCCTGTTCGGCTGTCTTTAATGCAGTTACCAGGGTGTGGGTGTGGGTGTGAGTGTTGTTCTTTCACCCACACCCTCTTCGAACACCATCTTGTCCGCCACAAGCCAAACCATATAAAATTGCTCGACCGATCAAAACAGCTCGTGCACCTAATGCTAATGCTTTTAATACATCAGTTCCACTTCGAATACCAGTATCAACAAATACTAAATAAATAAAGAATCGTTGGGCGATTTTCGTAAGAAAAATTCGAAGTTTCATTCCTATATACACTTTTCTCTTTTACATATCAAGTTGATGGTAAAAAAATTTTCTTAAATTTGAATTATATCGACTGTTCCAAAATATTTACAACATTTCTTATCTCGGCATAGGTGAATGATAGAATCTTGATCTTTTTTTAAAAAAGGCGCCACGAAATACTTCGCAAACATTGTATAAGCAGCAATCTCTACTGACACGTTCTGATGGTTTTTCTCATACTCAAAATGTACAACTTACATGATAGTGCTACATCCCATCGTGTCGAGCATAATAAAAATGTTTGGAAGATTTTTTTTTTGTTATGCTTTGCGTATGTCTAGGCTAAAGAAAATGATAATATCTTGCTTTTTTAACGATGAACCACCGAAAGCTGTATGAACAAATCTCTAGTGCGAAACAAAAAAAATCTTCCATACATTTTTATTACGTACAATATAGTGAAAAGTAGCACTATTATGTAGATTATACATTTGTTATATGGGAAAAACCATTAAAACATGCCAGTATTGATTTATTAATACAAATTTTGTAGAGCTTCTCATGGTGCATCTTTAAAAAAAAAAGATCAAGATTTTATTATTTTTATGTGCAAAGATATTCGCAAAATAAACTATTTTGACATGTTCAGTATA